ATATATATACAAAATTGGTCATACTATAATATTGACTAAAGCTTTATGAATGAGTGCTCATAGTATGATCTATGTCATATTTTTACTAGAATGTTCCTCTTTTTAAATTTATAGTGTATGTTCATTGAGCACCTATCACACTCATCCATCCATCTACTAACTATTGGATATATAATTCTTGGACAAATGCAAAAAAAGTTCTAATTAAGACAATATGTTTTCTGTCTTCCCAAAGAAATAAGTCTGCAGAGTCAGGCTATACTAATAAATAGTAATAACCTTGACAGTGACCTAGGTTTGAAGTAATTCTACTAAAGTGTTTAACTGGTATTCTCTGAGATATCAGTTTGCTGACAAAAAACTGAATTAACAAAGATGTTTGTAGCAAATAAGACTTAGCTAGGTAAAAGCTCATGGGCAGCTAGAGATAGCAACATCCATATGCTACCAAGGACATGTACAAAGTATCTATATGGGGAACTCTGGCTTATAGATGCAGGACAGTCATATTGCTAGAAAGTTCAGGACTAGACAGATAAATGCATGAGTGAAAGTGGGAAGATGGCATTTACTGACAACTATAGGCGACAGATAGACTTAAATCTCACACTTACCCAATTATTTGATCCTGCTCAAAATCAACTTTGTTGGTGCCCCATCCAAAGATAGGGAAAGAGTACCATTAAAGCAAATGGCAGCCACTTCTTTATAAGATTTTATTACTTAAAAACGTGATAGAAATGACAGGAAGATGGTCAGTGAAATGATCAACCATAAGATACATGATTTTGGTGTCACAATTTAACATAACACAAGAAAACGTAAGTACTTTATTGAGCTTATTATTAGATTTTTTAGCTTGATTATTAGATTTTTCTGTCTTGACTTCCTGAAATCTCATCTTTCCATTAGAATTGATATTTTTAGTAACTTCATTTTCAATTGACATAATTACTCCTGCCGCATTACTGATTATTGACAAGTACAACGTCAAAAAACACTTTTTTCGTAAGTTTTTATTTTCTAAAGGCCCTTTCTGTCAATGGAATATTTTTGGAACCAGTAACTGCATTTTTAAATGAAAGTTACTATGAATTTATCATCAATTGCTTTGAAATATAAATTTTAGAATGCTTGGAGCTGTTGATTAACATGGAACAGTTTTTTTTTTAATTTATTTATGTGTATGATTGTTATGCTTGCATGTCGGTAAGCGCACCCACGTTGTACAATGCCAGCAGAGGACAGAAGAGGCTGTCGGATTACCTGGAACTGGAGTTACAATCGTTAGCTGCCATGTGGGTGCTGGAATTCGAACCTGGGTATCTGCAAGAACAGTCAGTATTCTTAACCTCTGAGCCATCTCTCCAGCCCCAGAAC